TATTGTTTATTGTTTATATTTGATCATATTATAATCTAGGTGAAGATTTTGCATTTTTAAGTTAGTTTTGATTACTTATATCAATTTAATTTTAATAAGGGTAGTTTTCAGTTTTTGGATGAAATTATCCATAGCATTGAATATTTTTAAGAAAAGTAAGCTTTATGTTCTGATGAACCTACCTAGGTAAAGCTCAATTGATTGCAAATTTGTCTAGCCACTCAGCAGGTCAACCATTGTTAGAAAGTATTATTTTTAATTTTATAAATTATGTAATGGTGAAATGGTTAAATTGACTTCGTCTTTTGTGGAGATTAAAGGGGATCGGGATTAAATCTCGGCCACAAACGTCTTTTATCGGAGACTATTTACCCACAAATTGTTATGTAAAAATTAGATTGGTGGATGAATGAAATTCAGATCTCAAATTGAGACGTTTTCCCTTAGAAATTTGAGCATCATTTTTGTCATTTCTAAGTTTCTGCAATTCTTGTGGTAGATTGCATCCAAGCCATTCAATCAAGTCTTGATCAAATTTGACTGTGGAAATTGTATCCAAGCCATTCAATCAAGCCTTGATCAAGTTTGAGTGTGAAGCGACACAATTTAGAACAAGGTGCCAAATCTTACTTCTAAATCTTCGATCGTTGGATCGTTGGGCTAAGGATTAAGGTTGCCTTATCACCACTACTAGCATATATTGTCTATTTTAGCTTGTTACATATCGTCGTCAGTCTCACGATTTTAAAACCTCTATCATTAATGTGAGATCTCACAATCCACCCTCCTTGGGGGCTAGCATTCTCGCTGGCACACTGCCTGGTGTATAGCTCTGATATAATTGATAATAACTCAAGCCCACAGCTAGCCGATATTTTCTGCTTTGGCCTGTTATATATCATCGTTAGCCTCACAATTTTAAAACGCGTCTCTGAAATAGAGGTTTTCACAGAGGTTTTCACATCTCTTTAAGGAATTCTTCATTCCCCATTTCCCTCTCCAACCGTTGTTGGATCTGGTGTCCATGTTATTTTACAAAATAATCTTTCAACCATGAGTTGATTGAACTGCCTATTTATAATGACTTCATTAACTTAAACAACTAACCCACAAACATATAGAGAAGCTTGAATTCATAAGGAAGAAAGCAAAAGGATGTCTGCGGATGAAAATTCAGGTATTGCACAACCGCCCATAATATGCACTCTTCTTTAAGGCTTTCCCTCAAGACTTTTAAAATGCATTTGCTAATGAAAGGTCTCCATACCTTTATAAAGGGTGTTTCGTTCTTCTCCCCAACCGATATAGGATCTCACACTTGTGATGGACACTTGTTAGACACGTACTGATCACTTGCTAAGTATATTAGTATAATAAAATGATAATAGAAAAATACATCACACATTGATTTAGTTATAAATGCATAAACTTGTTCATTCTGAATTTTCTTATGCTATTGAAATGATATATATTTTAATAAATGTGTTCTTTTTATGTACGTAATGTTGTGTCACTATGGCTGTGTCGTGTTTTGTACTTTGTATTCGTATTCGTGCTTCTTAGCTTATAATTTGGTATGTGTACATGTATAAATTTCAATTTGAGTTTTGGCTTTTGAATGCTATATGGATGGAAACTATTCTGAAAAGTTGAAGAAAGATAAAGGGTGTGAGACTAGTTAATCCTCTCTTTTTCTTGTTTGTTATAATGGCCGGTCTGTTTGGTGTAGAAAATAAATTCGCTTTGATATCAATGTGTAAAAATTAAAAGCCGCTCCGATACCAACTTGTAGAAAATAGATGCTCACTCTGAAACTAACTCGTGTAGATAATTCTCACGAAACTTTAAAGGGGGATGTCGAGAGGGAAGAGACAAACAAATTCTGAAAAGTCTTTTTCTATTACACTTTCCGTCCTGCTGCTTCTTTTCATATGTAACTCTTTAGTGTTCTCTCTTCTTTTACAAACTATAAGTAAAGTCTTTTTATAGATTTTCCGCTAAAATTGGTCGCCACATCATTTTTCTCACCGAGACTCCATTCTTTATTAAATTAAGTATGGCTACTGACCGAATTTAAAACCAAAAATTCATAATTACTTTCCTTTTTTCTCTCTCCCTCCCTTAAGTATTTTCCAACAAAAACTCTCCCATCAACTTAAATGTTCTATTCAATGATTCCACCTGAGCCGTTTTCGTTTTCTCGATCTCAGTCGTGATTTCTTCAATTTTCTCTTCTTTTCTTCGAGCGGCAAAAGAGAGTTGACCTTCTCTGATGAGACTTCATTTGGATCTTTTCGAGAACAGCCCATCTGAGACTCCAATTCTTCATTTCTCCCGTTCTCAGCCACGTTTGACTCAGACATCACGGCTTCGTTCAATTTATCAATTCCCTTCGTAAGTCCACAGTGACCTTTGCCGCTAGCATTCTTGTTTCCTTCAGTTTGGTTTTATCACGAGTGAGTGTTTCAATCGTGTGTCATAAGTTCACTGTCTCCTATTGGAATTGATTCAGGTTCACGTCGAGTGAGTTTCTCTTTTGAGTCAATATCTCTATATCTTTCTTCTTTCTCACTAGCTCATCCACTAGACCCTCAATCTCCATTAATAGGTCATTCTCTTTTTTCACACCTTCTTCAACTTTCTTCGCAAGTTTAGAGATTACCTGTCCATTCTCTTCCTTCTCTTGTTTGAGATAGGCGAAACTCTCATTCAGCTCAGCAATTTCCTTCTCTAACCTTTCAACTTTTGTTTCCAACTTTCTTTTTCTTCTTCAATTTTCATCCTCTTTCTTATTTCTTCCTCGAATTGCTTTTCCGGCCATTGAAGCTCTCTATCTTCGAGCTCGGGCTCTCTGTTCTTCGGTTGTTCATCTTTATTCGATTTTCTCGTCTCCGATACCACAATTTCACCAAATCCGTTGCGTATCACCTCATTTCTAACAGTTTCTACCACCTCAAGACTACCGCCATCATTTTTCGCGCCGCCGTCTCCTTTTGTGTTTGGCTCTTCGTTTTGAGCCATCAAGAGGATGCCTCCACTTGTTGCGTCATCCAAGGCCAGTTGATGGTTTCTTCCACCTTTTCCTCGGCTCGACAATCTCTCGCATAGTGACCCATTCTGCCTCAATTGTAACATCTGTTAGAGTTACAATTATTTGCATAGTGGTCATATTTCTGACATTTAAAGCACTAGATGTTGGAATTGTATCCTTGATCGTGTCCTTGATTGCGTCCTCTTCCACACCAATTTGCTTTGCTCGACAGTCTGTTCTCCTGGTAGTTTTCTTCGTAACTATTGCCTTGACCACCTCGACCATTCCCGCGGCTTCCACGATCTCTACCTCGAAAATTTTGTGAGTAGAGAACTTTTCCATCCTTTATTGTTGCCTTCATCTGAAGCGCTTGATTGAGTGACTCCTCCTTCTTTTTCTTGCGTTGCTCGTGTGCCTCGAGAGAACCGGCAAGCTCATCGACTGTGAACTTCATCAGGTCCTTCGACTCTTCTATGGCACATACAACATTCTCAAAGTTGTCTGTTAGCGACCTCAAGATTTTCTCCACGACCCGCGTCTCGAGTAACATTTCTCCGTTTCGATTTAGCTGATTCGCCACGGTTTGTACACGTGTAATATAGTCAGATACATTTTCTGATTCTTTCATCTGCATGCTCTCTAACTCATCACGCAGAGTCTGGAGACGCACCTGCTTGACTCGGTCGGTTCTTTTGAACACCTTTTCTAGAGTGTCCCACGCTTCTTTTGAAGTAGTTGCCCTTGCAATCTTGTCAAAGCCCGACTCGTCAACAGCTCGGAACAGCATGTATAATGCTGCCTTATCCTTTGATCGTGCTTCCTTTAGCGCCTTGTTTTGGGCTGTCGTATAACCCGTGGTATCCTTCGATTCTTCGAAACCTTCTTCGATCACCTCCCATGCGTCTTGTGAACCAAGAAGAGCTTTCATTTGGATGCTCCAATTCTCGTAGTTCGTCTTTGTCGATCGTGGTAGCGGCATTTGTCCTATCATGTTCGCCATTGGCTCTGATACCAATTTGTAGAAAATAAATTCGCTCTGATACCGATTTGTAGAAATTAAAAGCCGCTTCGATACCAATTTGTAAAAAATAGACGCTCGCTCTGAAACTAACTCGTTTAGATAACTCTCACGAAACTTTAGAGGGGTGTCAGGGAGGGGAGACAAATAAATTCTCAAAAGCCTTTTTTCTATTACACTTTATGTTCTGCTTCTCTATATGTTCTGCTTCTCTAACTCTTTCTGGTTCTCTGCTTTTACCACCATAAGTAAAGCCTTTTTTTCTAGATTTTAATAAGGCTCAAATTAGTCATTAACTGCCCCATAATTTTTCTCCCATAACCCACTTTCTTTTTCTAAATTACTCAGGGCTTTTGACAGAATTTAAAACCAAAAGTTCATAATTACTTTTCTTTTTTTCTCTCTCCCTAAGTTTATTTCCAACACTTGGTTGGTAGGATGATTGCAATGAGAGATTGATTCACTCTTGCTGAGCACCACTGCTCACAACAGAGAAAATGGCTCTCACACACTGTTATCAAAATAACTAACTATGTTAACGATACCAAAATGGTACGGAGCAATTAATGGTGAGTCCAATCAGTCCCAAACTAAATTGAATAAGAAATCTTTGTATCCTTAGTGTTGAATGTATTTGAAGCCAAATCAAGTGTTAGTTGTTGGATTTCGATAATCGGCCCGAAAAAACATCGAGAGGATATTGTCGACAGGAGGTTGTTGGAAGAAAGATAAAATGCGTAAAATAAGAGAGAGAGAAGGACTGAAAGTTTGACTGCTCTTCAAAATCCGGATGTAAAATCTTGTAAACAGATTTCCTATTTAAATACAACCTATCCTAAAAATGGGTGTGGCCAACTGAATCTGTGCCACTTCCTAGAAAATTGACGTCTAAGAATTCGCTAATCCATTCGACGTGTTTGTCAAATGGTCAAAGGGAAATTAAANTGTTATCAAAATAACTAACTATGTTAACGATACCAAAATGGTACGGAGCAATTAATGGTGAGTCCAATCAGTCCCAAACTAAATTGAATAAGAAATCTTTGTATCCTTAGTGTTGAATGTATTTGAAGCCAAATCAAGTGTTAGTTGTTGGATTTCGATAATCGGCCCGAAAAAACATCGAGAGGATATTGTCGACAGGAGGTTGTTGGAAGAAAGATAAAATGCGTAAAATAAGAGAGAGAGAAGGACTGAAAGTTTGACTGCTCTTCAAAATCCGGATGTAAAATCTTGTAAACAGATTTCCTGAGAGAAGGACTGAAAGTTTGACTGCTCTTCAAAATCCGGATGTAAAATCTTGTAAACAGATTTCCTATTTAAATACAACCTATCCTAAAAATGGGTGAAAATCCGGATGTAAAATCTTGTAAACAGATTTCCTATTTAAATACAACCTATCCTAAAAATGGGTGTGGCCAACTGAATCTGTGCCACTTCCTAGAAAATTGACGTCTAAGAATTCGCTAATCCATTCGACGTGTTTGTCAAATGGTCAAAGGGAAATTAAATGTAAACGTGTGAATCTAAATAAGGAAAAAACAAAGGCTAAAAATGGGTGTGGCCAACTGAATCTGTGCCACTTCCTAGAAAATTGACGTCTAAGAATTCGCTAATCCATTCGACGTGTTTGTCAAATGGTCAAAGGGAAATTAAATGTAAACGTGTGAATCTAAATAAGGAAAAAACAAAGGTTAAAAATGGGTGTGGCCAACTGAATCTGTGCCACTTCCTAGAAAATTGACGTCTAAGAATTCGCTAATCCATTCGACGTGTTTGTCAAATGGTCAAAGGGAAATTAAATGTAAACGTGTGAATCTAAATAAGGAAAAAAAACAAAGGCTAAAAATGGGTGTGGCCAACTGAATCTGTGCCACTTCCTAAATCTAAATAAGGAAAAAACAAAGGCTAAAAATGGGTGTGGCCAACTGAATCTGTGCCACTTAATTCGCTAATCCATTCGACGTGTTTGTCAAATGGTCAAACGGAAATTAAATGTAAACATGTGAATCTAAATAAGGAAAAAACAAAGGTTTTATCTAACAATCTCCTCCTAAAACCTGTGTTATATCTGCCTTATTTCGTTTCGTTTGAACTCCGTTTTGAGCCCTATGGCTCGGTGTCCCTGGCGGCATGTCCTCCAGACTCCACGTCTTGTTCGGCCGCCTCTTCTTCGAGTTGGCACGCCGCCAGTCCAGGTGGTTCACCTCTTCCTAATAGGTCTTCCATCTTCCGATACCTGGCCGAGAAGTTGACTGGTTGCTCTATCTCTAGCTTTAGGATGTAAAGGCAGTTTGTCGTGCACCGAACTTGCGTGAGCAACCGTCGTCGATCATCGCGGATCCTAAGTAGCCCGCGTTTGATGGAAATGTGGCAGCCGGCCTTATCGAGTTGACCCAGGCTCACAATATTAGCCTTGAGTCTCGGGATGAAGTAGACGCCGGTCAGCTTGTGATGATTGCCTCCCTTGTCGACGAATAGGATGGTGCCGTGCCCTTCGATCTCGACGACGGAGCCATCGCCGAATTTCACCGTCCCGCGAATCCCCACTTCCTAAGTCTAAATAAGGAAAAAACAAAGGCTAAAAATGGGTGTGGCCAACTGAATCTGTGCCACTTAATTCGCTAATCCATTCGACGTGTTTGTCAAATGGTCAAAGGGAAATTAAATGTAAACATGTGAATCTAAATAAGGAAAAAACAAAGGCTAAAAATGGGTGTGGCCAACTGAATCTGTGCCACTTCCTAGAAAATTGACGTCTAAGAATTCGCTAATCCATTCGACGTGTTTGTCAAATGGTCAAAGGGAAATTAAATGTAAACGTGTGAATCTAAATAAGGAAAAAACAAAGGCTAAAAATGGGTGTGGCCAACTGAATCTGTGCCACTTCCTAGAAAATTGACGTCTAAGAATTCGCTAATCCATTCGACGTGTTTGTCAAATGGTCAAAGGGAAATTAAATGTAAACGTGTGAATCTAAATAAGGAAAAAACAAAGGCTAAAAATGGGTGTGGCCAACTGAATCTGTGCCACTTAATTCGCTAATCCATTCGACGTGTTTGTCAAATGGTCAAAGGGAAATTAAATGTAAACATGTGAATCTAAATAAGGAAAAAACAAAGGTTTTATCTAACAATCTCCTCCTAAAACCTGTGTTATATCTGCCTTATTTCGTTTCGTTTGAACTCCGTTTTGAGCCCTATGGCTCGGTGTCCCTGGCGGCATGTCCTCCAGACTCCACGTCTTGTTCGGCCGCCTCTTCTTCGAGTTGGCACGCCGCCAGTCCAGGTGGTTCACCTCTTCCTAATAGGTCTTCCATCTTCCGTGGTTGCTCTATCTCTAGCTTTAGGATGTCCCTATGGCTCGGTGTCCCTGGCGGCATGTCCTCCAGACTCCACGTCTTGTTCGGCCGCCTCTTCTTTGAGTTGGCACGCCGCCAGTCCAGGTGGTTCACCTCTTCCTAATAGGTCTTCCATCTTCCGATACCTGGCCGAGAAGTTGACTGGTTGCTCTATCTCTAGCTTTAGGATGTAAAGGCAGTTTGTCGTGCACCGAACTTGCGTGAGCAACCGTCGTCGATCATCGCGGATCCTAAGTAGCCCGCGTTTGATGGAAATGTGGCAGCCGGCCTTATCGAGTTGACCCAGGCTCACAATATTAGCCTTGAGTCTCAGGATGAAGTAGACGCCGGTCAGCTTGTGATGATTGCCTCCCTTGTCGACGAATAGGATGGTGCCGTGCCCTTCGATCTCGACGACGGAGCCATCGCCGAATTTCACCGTCCCGCGAATCCCCACTTCCTAAATCTAAATAAGGAAAAAACAAAGGTTTTATCTAACAATCTCCTCCTAAAACCTGTGTTATATCTGCCTTATTTCGTTTCGTTTGAACTCCGTTTTGAGCCCTATGGCTCGGTGTCCCTGGCGGCATGTCCTCCAGACTCCACGTCTTGTTCGGCCGCCTCTTCTTCGAGTTGGCACGCCGCCAGTCCAGGTGGTTCACCTCTTCCTAATAGGTCTTCCATCTTCCGATACCTGGCCGAGAAGTTGACTGGTTGCTCTATCTCTAGCTTTAGGATGTAAAGGCAGTTTGTCGTGCACCGAACTTGCGTGAGCAACCGTCGTCGATCATCGCGGATCCTAAGTAGCCCGCGTTTGATGGAAATGTGGCAGCCGGCCTTATCGAGTTGACCCAGGCTCACAATATTAGCCTTGAGTCTCGGGATGAAGTAGTAAATAAGGAAAAAACAATGATTGCCTCCCTTGTCGACGAATAGGATGGTGCCGTGCCCTTCGATCTCGACGACGGAGCCATCGCCGAATTTCACCGTCCCGCGAATCCCCACTTCCTAAATCTAAATAAGGAAAAAACAAAGGCTAAAAATGGGTGTGGCCAACTGAATCTGTGCCACTTAATTCGCTAATCCATTCGACGTGTTTGTCAAATGGTCAAAGGGAAATTAAATGTAAACATGTGAATCTAAATAAGGAAAAAACAAAGGCTAAAAATGGGTGTGGCCAACTGAATCTGTGCCACTTAATTCGCTAATCCATTCGACGTGTTTGTCAAATGGTCAAAGGGAAATTAAATGTAAACATGTGAATCTAAATAAGGAAAAAACAAAGGCTAAAAATGGGTGTGGCCAACTGAATCTGTGCCACTTAATTCGCTAATCCATTCGACGTGTTTGTCAAATGGTCAAAGGGAAATTAAATGTAAACATGTGAATCTAAATAAGGAAAAAACAAAGGCTAAAAATGGGTGTGGCCAACTGAATCTGTGCCACTTAATTCGCTAATCCATTCGACGTGTTTGTCAAATGGTCAAAGGGAAATTAAATGTAAACATGTGAATCTAAATAAGGATAAAACCTTGTCAAATGGTCAAAGGGAAATTAAATGTAAACATGTGAATCTAAATAAGGAAAAAACAAAGGTTTTATCTAACAATCTCCTCCTAAAACCTGTGTTATATCTGCCTTATTTCGTTTCGTTTGAACTCCGTTTTGAGCCCTATGGCTCGGTGTCCCTGGCGGCATGTCCTCCAGACTCCACGTCTTGTTCGGCCGCCTCTTCTTCGAGTTGGCACGCCGCCAGTCCAGGTGGTTCACCTCTTCCTAATAGGTCTTCCATCTTCCGATACCTGGCCGAGAAGTTGACTGGTTGCTCTATCTCTAGCTTTAGGATGTAAAGGCAGTTTGTCGTGCACCGAACTTGCGTGAGCAACCGTCGTCGATCATCGCGGATCCTAAGTAGCCCGCGTTTGATGGAAATGTGGCAGCCGGCCTTATCGAGTTGACCCAGGCTCACAATATTAGCCTTGAGTCTCGGGATGAAGTAGACGCCGGTCAGCTTGTGATGATTGCCTCCCTTGTCGACGAATAGGATGGTGCCGTGCCCTTCGATCTCGACGACGGAGCCATCGCCGAATTTCACCGTCCCGCGAATCCCCGAGTCAAGCTCGGAGAACGCAGACTTGGCCCCGGTCATATGGTTTGTTGCCCCCGTGTCGAGGACCCATCGTCGGTGCTCTTGCTGCTCGCCTCTTTCACCGATTTGAGCGAGCACTCGCTCCTCCTTTAGTCGAATTGGCTCCCCAGGTGCATTTGTTATGCACAGTTGGAGTTCTTCCTCGGGTTCGACGCTCACCGGAGCAGTTATGCCGTCGTCGATTACCTCTGTGAACTTGGGGAGCTCTTCCTCGGGTTTGACGCCAGGTAGGACTGATGCAGTCACCATGAAAAGGGTCGACGAGGATGAGCCGACCCTTTTCGGCCGTCTCCTTGTTCCTGAGCTAGCTCCAGCACAATTCTTGCTCAGGTGACCTCTCTTCCCACAGTACGAGCACTGGATTGGCCCGTCATCAGTCGACTCCTCCTTCTTTTGATCCGCCTCTTTCCTGTACATGCGCCATCGAGATTTCCACGGCTTCTTACCGCCTTTGCGGCTGGAGGGCTCATTGCTCTCGCCGGTGTCGTCACGGAGCTTTAGGCGTGCAAGCCATTCCTCCTCAGTGAGGAGTGTCGGTTGACGCGCATCAACAAGGCCCACTCGTTGTAGTTGGACCCCACGATGTGCTTATTTTCGCCCTTTGCATTTTCTTCTACTCGAACCTGAGACCTGAGTGTTGTTAGGTCGACACTCTGACCACTTGAGCTATTCAACTTGAATGTTGATAGGTTGGCTCTTCTGTGATGGTATACTACCGATCGCTTCAACTTGGCTCTGATACTACTTGTTGGATTTCGATAATCGGCCAGGGAAAACACCGAGAGGATATTGTCGACAGGAGGTTGTTGGAAGAAAGATAAAATGCGTAAAATAAGAGAGAGAGAAGGACTGAAAGTTTGACTGCTCTTCAAAATCCGGATGTAAAATCTTGTAAACAGATTTCCTATTTAAATACAACCTATCCTAAAAATGGGTGGAGAGTGGCCAATTGAATCTGTGCCACTTCCTAGAAAATTGACGTCTAAGAATTCGCTAATCCATTCGACGTGTTTGTCAAATGGTCAAAGGGAAATTAAATGTAAACGTGTGAATCTAAATAAGGAAAAAACAAAGGTTTTATCTAACATTAGTATTGGTAGATTTAAGTGATTTGGTTGTAACTGCCCAAGCTCACCGCTAGCAGATATTGTCCACTTTGGGCTTTTCTTTCAGGGATTTCCCTCAAGGTTTTTAAAACGTGTCTGTTAGTGAAAGGTTTTCACACCCTTATAAAGAATGCTTAGTTCTCCTCCCCAACCGTTGTAGGATCTCACAATCCACCCCTCTTCGGGGTCCAGCGTCCTCGCTAGCACTCGTTCTCTTCTCCAATCAATGTGAGACCTCCAATCTACCCTCTTCGGGGCCCAGTGTCCTTGTTGGCACACCGCCTCATGTTCGCCCCCCTTTGGGGCTCAGTCTCCTTGCTGGCACTTTGTCCGGTGTTTGGCTCTGATACCATTGTAACGGTCCAAGTCCACCGCTAGCAGATATTGTCCTCTTTGGGCTTTCCCTTTCGGACTTCCCCTCAAGGTTTTTAAAACGCGTCTGCAAGGGAGAGATCTACACCCTTATAAAGAATGCTTCGTTCTTCTCTCCAACCGATGTGGATCTCACATTAGTGTTTGAGTTTAATTAAGTCAAAGGGAAACAAGAATTTGGTGGGTTGTGTGGTCTCTCCATTTTTGTTATGTTATTTTGGTCTTCCATGGTCATCAGGAAGCATGAGAGATTTTAAAAAAGTTCTCTTTGGATCATCTTAATGAATTTGATTAGTAAAAACACTCTTCCATTTGGCCAGTAGTTGTCTGCTAGTTTTCCCTGGAATCTAAGACTCTTTGGTATAAGATTATTGTTAGTATGCATATCTTCTGGTTTTGAGGTCACATCGATTTTTCTTTTGAGAATGGAGCTCGTGTTAACTTCTGGGGAGGATCGATTGATTCTGGTCGTTAACACCGTATATACCATCTAGAAGTTTATTATGTTCTTCTTCGTCTGGTTGTGTATTATCTATAAGGAGCAGATTAAATACTATAGGATTGTGTTTTGTGGATTTTTTTTTCTCAACATGGATTGGATAAAGCTATAGCTCATCTTAAAGAGTTTCTTGAGCTAGTAGTTGCAAGGATACCTCCTCATGGGAACTGCCACTTTGACAAACGACATGGAATATTTTAGAGGGGCAAAAATAGACATAGTATGACCTAGAATCTTATGCTGGGTCGTCTCAGTTTTATATATATATATATATATATATGCAAGCATTCGATTTATCAGTATATCATGTTAACTTGATCCCACATCGAAACACTCTTTATAAGGGCCTCTCCCTAGCAGATGCGTTATAAAATCGTGAAACTNTTGGCCAGTAGTTGTCTGCTAGTTTTCCCTGGAATCTAAGACTCTTTGGTATAAGATTATTGTTAGTATGCATATCTTCTGGTTTTGAGGTCACATCGATTTTTCTTTTGAGAATGGAGCTCGTGTTAACTTCTGGGGAGGATCGATTGATTCTGGTCGTTAACACCGTATATACCATCTAGAAGTTTATTATGTTCTTCTTCGTCTGGTTGTGTATTATCTATAAGGAGCAGATTAAATACTATAGGATTGTGTTTTGTGGATTTTTTTTTCTCAACATGGATTGGATAAAGCTATAGCTCATCTTAAAGAGTTTCTTGAGCTAGTAGTTGCAAGGATACCTCCTCATGGGAACTGCCACTTTGACAAACGACATGGAATATTTTAGAGGGGCAAAAATAGACATAGTATGACCTAGAATCTTATGCTGGGTCGTCTCAGTTTTATATATATATATATATATATNAGGTAAGTGAAGAGTATACATAAACATACCCTATAGCCCATGTGGGTTGCTGCTGAAGGTAAACAACAGAATAGATCTGAAACATTATTATATGATATGTTTATAATAATTGTGTAATATAATTATATATGGAACTGGTAATCTAAGTTTGTAGAAACAATAAATAAGAGATGCATATACTTTCATGTAGAGATCCCTTCAAAGTGATGCTCACAAGCGTGTTATGTTAGTACTAAATTCTTGTCTTTTCAATTTCGTGTCTAAGGAGTCAATAACTTTTTTATTATGGGTAATATATTCATAAAGTTATTGAAATGGGTCTGGAAATTTAATGGGAGTAAAATAGATTTTAGAGTGATAAAATAAGATAATTAATTTTTTTTTTAATTAAGTCTTAAAATTTTAATTCTCCAATAAAATTTTAATTGACTTTTATCTCCTAATTTTTTCATCCAAGACTTACTGGCCATTATCATTTGGGATTTCATTGGGCTGGAAAAGGAGATAAAAATCCTCCAATGTCTCACTTCGATTATGCAACGAACTCCAACAAGCGATGACGAGCAACAATGGTTCTCTACCCTCGATGACTCGAGTTCCCCTACCCAACTAGTGATTGTGGCAATCCATCTTAAATGACGACGACACTATGATACATTTCTTGTTAGTTCAACATTGTCGCCTAGGATGCATACTCTAAACCGTCTCTTGAATTTGAATGCCCATAGCTCGTAGAGGTCAGATCAATAAGTTCAACAGAATTGGAGTATGATAAACGCAAGTTTTTTCAAGGAGTTCCAGTGAATAAGGATTCATTTTATTTACTTATGAACTCGTTAGACTGTCCTTTATTTATTCTTTCTATTCTTTTGTTGAGGTTGAGGCTAGGAATAAAGAGAGAAAATTGAAAGATTTAGAAGAATTGGGAGAAATCTTACCTATTTGAAATCTAACCTTTTATTGAATAATGAATTCTTAACGAGAGAAAACTGGAAATAAAGAGAGAAAATTGGAAAGATCTCACATTCTATGGAAGAATGAATTCTTAAAGAGAGAAAATTGGAAAGATCTCACATTCTATGGAAGAATGAATTCTTAAAGAGAGAAAATTGGAAAGATCTCACGTTCTATTCAAGAATGAATTCCTCACATTAAAACGGGAAAGATTAGAAAAATTGGGAGAAATATCACATTCTATTGAAGAACGAAATTGTGGAAGAAATCTCTAGTTGAAGAATGAAATTGTGGGAGAGAAATCTTAGAAATCTCACATTGAAGAATGAAATTGTGGGGGAGAAATCTGTGACTCCTGGCATGCACATGAAGCTGCAACTATGAATTCTGCCTCTGTGGAAGATAGACTTACTATTGGTTGTTTCTTTGATGACCATGATACTGCTCCAGAACTCAATAAGAACACATAGCTTGAAGTACTTTTTCTCTCATCCAAATCTCCAGCGTAATCATTGTCTGTGTATGCAACAAAATCATCATCTCCTCCTTTTCGATAGAAAATTCCAAACCCAGTTGTTCCCTTCAAATAACGCAGTACCCTTTTTCCTGCCTGTAAATGAAGCTGAGTGGGATTCTCCATATATCTACTAATCAGACTCACTACAAACATTATGTCTGGTTGAGTTGCTTTGAGATAATTAAGACTGCCTACAACTTGCTTATAGTAGGTTTTGTCCATGTTTATTCCATCTTCATCTTTCATAGGTTTGCATCCAGGGACAATAGGATTATGAACAGAATTACTTTTGTCCATTCCAAACCGTTTCAACACCTCCAAAGCATACTTCTTCTGACTTATAAAAATACCACTAGATTTTTGTAAGACTTCAAGGCCAAGAAAATACCTCATTTTACCAAGATCTGTCATGTCAAACTCATTTTTCATGGAGTTTTTAAACTCAGTAAACATCAATTTATCATTTCCAGTAAACATGATATCATCGACATAGAGACTTACAATTAATACTTTGGCTTCTTTTCCTCTCTTAATGAACAAAGTATGCTCATAGTCACACTTCTCAAAACCTTCCTTCATAAAATAGGCTTCTATACGGCTGTATCAAGCACATGGAGCTTGCTTAAGCCCATAAAGTGCCTTCTTTAACTTGTAAACCTTCTGCTCATGTCCCTTTTGCACATATCCACAAGGTTGCTCCACAAAGACCTCTTCATTCAAATCACCATGTAGAAATGCAGATTTCACATCCAGCTGATAGATGGACCAGCCTCTTTGAGCTGCAAGTGCTACCACCAAACGACTTGTCTCCATGCGCACAACAGGTGCAAATACTTCAGTATAGTCTACCCCTTGTATTTGTCGACTTCTCCATTTTCATTGAATATCGTCTTATAAATCCATTTTACTCCAACCTTCTTTCTGCCCTCAGGTAACTCCATCAATTCCCATGTGTCATTTCTATTTATTGCTTCCATTTCCAAATCCATGGCTTGCCTCCATTTCTCACTCTTCAATACGTCTTCAAAGTTTACCGGATCAGTAGTGGTAGACATGGCAAAGTGAGCTTCATTATCTTCTTCAGAAAGATCTTCTCCTGTTGCATAGTCTTTCATCTAGACTGGTAGTCTCCTATTCCTCCCCTTATTCGAGCTAAGGGAGTTTGCTTCAGCTGGAGAAGGAGAGCTTGCTTCAGCCAAAGAGCCAGAGGAAATATTTTCCTCTGCAGTATTTTCCTCTACAGCTTCTATATTAGATTCGCTCCCTTCTTCATTTTCATCAAACATATCTGCTGTCTCCTCTTGATCACCCCATTCCAGATCGCACATAATGGATTTTTCATAGGTCTTATCGTCCCAACTCTTATCTTCCTCAAATACAACATCCCTACCGTTGGGTTTTATGTCATAAAACTCATAGTTTGTAAACAAAAACATATTCTATTTTCAATGAAGTTATTATTGTTGTTTATTCAGTAAAGATTGTTATTGAATAAAGTGAACTTTATGATCATTAATCTAAATTCAATAAACTAAGAACACTCTGGCTATAGTATGATTACTTGAACTATATGTAGAGACATAAGAGTGGATCAAGTTCAAGTATATAGTCAAAATGATCTATAGTATAAGGATAAGGCTGAGTACCTTATTCTGGGGACATTATGGATGCGGCCCACTTTTGTATATGATATAAACAATGTGATCACTAAATCGTACATGTGGAGACATGTGAGTGGGGGCGTCTTATGCAATGAGTATTGCATAAGATCGGACCATGAAGAAAATCACTCTCACGTTATAATGTCGTTTACTATTGAGACTGATTTTCTTTTCATTCGATGACCTAGGTAACTCGATCTTAATCCTGAGCTAACCATGAACTCTTGTTCATTCAGAATTATCCTTAGATTTGCATGGGTGAGAGTGGCTCGAGTTCGCCGACTCAATAGGCCTCCCATTTCAGGGGTAAGACTGGGTGAATAGCTGGGGACGTGGGGTGCAAGATGGAATTCGCTCCTACCCACTTTTAGGGATAGAAGAGAGGTAGTTCCCTTAAATACTGACTCTAGGTCTTGAACAAGGGGCCCCACTCACCATTGGCCTGAGAGGGATTCGGTTTACTGGTTGGACCACAAACCAATTGTTCATAAGAGGATCAGTGGGACATAAGGAACAAGAAGTAACTTCAGGGGTAAAATGGCTAATTGACCCAGCTCCAGTTACGAACAACCTGTGAAGGATCGACTTGGTTATATCAAATGGACAGAAATATATCTATAGTGAGGGAGTGCAACTACTAGGCTATAGTGGAGTGTCCTAGTAGTTAACGAGTGTTGTTGATTAACAAGGTTAATCTTGGATCGTTGGAGCCCATGATCTATAGGTCCATTAGATCCCTCTGCTAGCTCATCGGACTAAACAATAGAACAGTGTGACGAGTGAGTTCGAAGTGTTCGAACTCAAATTAGGAAATATGCGCTACATATATACAATATATTTAACCGCATTTTTGTTTTATTTACGAATTAAACAAAAAGAGAGAATTTGAGATATTTAAATAATATTTAAATATTTTAATCAAATATATGTCGGAATGGATTGGGATTGGCTTTTTGAATTAATATTAAATATTACTTAAATAGTTTAATTAATCATTTAATATTACTTTAATTTGAAATTAATTATTCAAATTAATTGTTGAATTAAAATGAAGAAAGTCAAAATGTTACTTCATTTAATGGAAAAATCCATGGTAGTGGAATTTTGAGGTGTCAAAATTTGGTTTAACCAAACTTGCATGCTTGACAAATAAACCCCACAAATTTCAGTGAAATTTTGAGTGTTAAAATTTGGTTAACTCAAATGTGCATGCTTGCCCCATAATCCCAAACATTTGAGTGAAATTTTGAGTGTCAAAATTTGGTGATCTCAAATTTGCATGAACATGCAAACATGACTCTTTATATAGAGTGATCATGGTACATGGAAGGTCTTCTTGGGGAAAAACCTTGAGAAAAATCTCTCACAAACACTCTTTTCATATATACAAAATCCCCCCCAAGTTTAGTCACTTACCGGATTCCACAATCCCGTTCTAAGGCCAGAGGATAGTGGAGAAGACACTAGTGGTGGTTCGAAACCGGTTCGTGAGGAAAAAGAAATTTGAACTACAAAAGGTTAGTATTCAAACTCATTAAGTTTTAATACTTATGAACATGCTAGTTATTTACTATAATTGATGTTCTAAAAGTGCCTAAGATCCAAATTGCTTCCGCATGTGTTATATTAACACCATCAATTGGTATCAGAGCATGTTTTGGGCACTTTATTTACATTAATTTGATCATGGTGGGTACCATTTTATGAATGAAATTTTGTAGTTGCTAAAGTGGATGGTTTTGGTTTTGGCATTTTTTTTATGCTTCCATTTGATACAATTATTGTAATAAGCCTAATGTGTTTGAGCTTTAACGAATGAAGAAAGGTCTGTAATTTTTATGGAGTCATTAGAGTCTATTTTAGGTTGTAATTGATCGAAAATGGAAGAGATAGCAAGCTGAACCAAAGAAGATGGAAGAGGCGGTTCGGATGTTTTTTCTGCCATTGGGGTTCGGTTCAACGTTTTTAAGAGTTGGTTCGCCCAGTTCGTGACCCTCGGGAGTGGCTCAAGTTATTTTTAATTATTAATGTAATAATTTAGTTAATTGCTTGCTTTAAAATGCCAAAACCAACCCACTTTAGTGTGTTTAA